GGCGGCACAGGATTAGGTCCAATTTTGGCATAGACATAGTATCTGTCGGTAGCGACAACATTAGCCGTAATATGATTATTCCTCTCCTTGATGTTATCACTCCCATTATCACTCATTTACTTAATGCAGCTACCTCTTCCTCTAAATTCCCTCAAGCCTGGAAGAGTGTTCATGTTATACCCCTTCCGAAGAGATCTAATCCCGTCAACCTCTCTGATTTTCGTCCCATTTCGATCTTACCTTTCCTTTCTAAAGTCCTTGAAAAACTAATTTGCCAACAGCTGACCCTTTTCTTCAATAAGCACAATTTATTAAATTCTTTACAATCCGGTTTCCGTCCTGGTCATAGTACGGCTACTGCCTTAATCAAAGTTACTGATGACATACGGTGGGGTATGGATAATAAACTACTCACAGTCATGACCTTGCTGGATTTCAGTAATGCGTTCAATACTGTTGACTATAATATACTGTTGAGTCTGTTGTGTTCCCTTAATATATCTCCATCAGTAATTAACTGGTTTCAAGGTTATCTCTGTGGCCGTCGGCAGTGTATTCGTTTCGAGGAAACTCACTCATCTTGGTGTAATATTACTGCAGGCGTGCCGCAGGGCGGCGTGTTGTCACCTTTACTCTTTTCCATTTTCATTAATTCAATTACTCATAAAATATCTTCTCTCTACCACATGTATGCGGATGATGTCCAGATTTACACACAGTCAACTCTTGAGAATTTGCCGAATGCAATCGCTACATTGAATAGCGATCTAAATATTATTCATGATTGGAGTAAATCATATGGCCTAAATGTGAATCCTAAAAAGTCTCAGGCTATCATTATTGGTGGCCAGAGTTTTATCTCAAGAGTTGACTGGTTCACCGTACCACCTATAGTATTCGATGGAGTTGTAATCCCTTACTTTGACAATGTCAAAAACCTTGGTATTTATATTGATAATTCTTTAAATTGGATACGCCAACTGAATGAGGTAAGTAAGAAAACCTTTGTCGCTCTTTGTTCACTGCGTCGCCTTCGATCATTTCTTCCCATTCCTACAAAAATTATGCTCGCACAGTCTCTTCTCCTTCCGATCCTCGACTATGCTGACGCAAGCTATGTAGACATAAATGAGCACCAGCTAAATAAGCTTGAGAGACTTCAAAATACTAGTATTTGGTTCATATTTGGATTGCGCAAATATGACCATATTTCCCAATTTAGCTCACGTCTCAAGTGGTTACCTATTCGACTTCGCCGGAACATGCATGTTCTTTCTATTCTGTACTGTGTATTATTTCATCCTTCTGCTCCTGCCTATCTAAAAGATAAGTTTAATTTTGTGGGGCTTCCGGGGGAACCTCTACGCTCTTCTAGAAAATTCGTTTTAAGGGTACCAACTCACAAAACATCGTTTTTTAAGAAATCTTTCACTGTCGAGTCTATTAAGCTCTGGAATGCCCTACCTTTGTATATACGTGAAGCACAATCTATTGTAATCTTTAAGCGATTACTTACAGAAAATTACTTGTCTCAATCGTTCGAAGACCGTTAGGATAAATTATGTAATTATGTATTTATTGTATTTATCAGCTTTATATTATTGTTTGAGGAAATTTGTAATTTATTTATGTATTTTGGGTAGATATGTAAGTTTGTTTATATACTCTTATATATGTATGTTTATGTATATATTATATGCATTACTTTATCTTTTATTATGTACTAGCTTTTTACCCGCGGCTTCGCTCGCGTGAGCTTGAATTTAGGAACATCATTAAATGCTGCTGCGTGCCTAATTTAGCAAAATTCGATCGCTTTTAGAGTCGCCTCTGTGTCTGTGTCTCTATATCTGTCAAAGATTTTTTTTTATAATTTTAAAGGACTATTAGACGTAGATGATTGGTATTTGTCATAGATGTAATGTGCTACAGGAACACGTGAATATATATTTCTAGAAACACCTACTATTTTTGTATCGGGCGTATCTTCCCATATATATATATATATATATATATATATATATATATATATATATATATATATATATATATATATATATATAAGAAAGGTGTTAAGGTGTCTTGAAATCAAAATTTATTATTATTAAATAATAATAAATTTATTTGTTTTACTCTTTACATTCATTAATAATTAAATTATAGTTTTAAAAAAACTATGATGAATTTCATGGTCTTCTATCAATTTACGGTATAATGTTTAGTTGAAATATTTTATTCATATCATTGATCCTGTTTAATATTGATTGGCACCATAAAATAGATGTAGATAATTTTTTTTTCGTTCGAGTATACTTCAAAATTTCATAAATGCAGTTCAATAATGGCATATAAGCACTACACATGGAATAAAACTAATGTTACGGATTTTATCACGTTTAATTTTATCTTTATTTTACGTGCGGTTTTTTACGCATCTTCGGATGAATAATTCATAAAAACCCACGTAAAAGAACATATCGTTGATGTGAAGCACCGACGCTCCGGAAAGTCTAAAGTATGTCAACATGTTTAGTATGGCCCCGATTATATCGGATCTGATAGCCAACAAATCCTTGCAATAGAACACCGATTCCTACCAATGATGATTCGCGAGGCTATTGATATTTAAAAAAAAAATCATAATTTTAACAGGAAAGATGGGGACGTAATATCAGCGATAGAAGCGAACCTTTATTTATTATATCAATAAGGCCTAAAATGAAGTTAATTCTGTTAAAAATTATGCTATCAGCGCTGCTAACGGTGAAAAACGATTTAATGATATCGTCATATCACCACATCATGAAATAGCAACATGTTGTTTAGTTAGTTATTAGTATCTTCAAACGACTTCTATTTATTGATTTGGTCAAGCTATACCATGACATTGTCAACAAACAGTGTTAAATATCACGAAATGATAGACTACTTTTTGATATATGATTAATTCTATGATCTGGCCACGACATAATATATAAAAATATTTTTAATAAAACTATAATGTTAATGAAAAATTTTGCAAATATTGCAGACATACCAGTTTTAACCAGTTTATATGTAGATTAGTAATTGAAATGAAAACCTTATCAAACATATTTTTGATAGAAGTCACTATTATCTATTAAAATTATTACACTTTTAAAATAAAATAACAAAAATAATAAAAAACTCAACGTTAGAACTTTTTAATAATTTTAAAAATCTAATTATTTAAACATATAAATGTAAGTTATTTATATTATTTAATTAATTAGCAACTGAAGGCAAAATATACTACTTTTTCCATTTAATGATAGATGGCGCTGTTTTGATAACTAAATCGGTGTAGTTTCAAATGATTTTACCAAGGTCATAACTATATTTTAAACTTTATTTATTTGAAAAACACCCGTCATCCCGCCTATAACTAAGATATAATAGAAAATTAACATCCAAGGGAAGAAAAATACTTAACCATCTTTTTATGAAGTTCCGTAATCGGATAAAAAGTAGCCTATAAGTTGTCCCGGGTTACTAACTATCTACATACAAAATTTCATGTAAATTGGTCCAATAGTTTTTGCGTGAATCCGGAATACACAGACAGACAGACAGACAGACAGACAGACGGACAGACAGACAGACAAAAATTCTAAAAACCATTAATTTGGCTTCAGAACCCTTTATTTAGTCCCCTGGACTTGTTTTTTCAAGAATATCTTAGAATTACAGACACGACTTTTCTACAGATTTATTATATGTATAGATTAGTAATTTGTATCATTTCATGTGGTAGTTATTTATATGTTATTTTATTGCATTTATTTTATATATATCGCATGTATTGATATTATATTTTGTATAATTATATTACACCACCTACCTAGTATTCATTGTTTATTCCTTTACACCCTTGGTTGCCTGGAAGAGATCGCTATGTAGCGATAAGGCCGCCAAATTGTACATTTAACCTGTCTTTTGTTATGTAATTTGTATATTTGTTTGTGGTGTACAATAAAGTATATTCATTCATTCATTCATATTCATTCATTCATTCATTCAATACATATAGCAAAAAGTCATATTGTAACTTGAAATTAAAACACCCTAAAAGGGTTTATAGGGGGCAGGCAAAAGTTAGGTGTCTAGGGTTAAAAATCAAAATGTAGACCCGTTGACACCCCCGAGGACTAAGATGGAATGCCTCGTATCCGGTAAAAGGGGTCTCCGGTTTTCTAAACTCACCATATGAGCATAAAGCTGCTATTTTACGCTGATATTCTGTGAGAGCGTGGTCCTTCTCAGGTAGAGCCGACCCATTCGTGCTACAATCATAATATAGCTAAAGCATGGTGTTACTACATTTAGCAGTAGCATCTTTTTGATATAACTCAAAATTTTAAAAAACTGCACTTATATACTTCCAACACGCTTACAACATTAATTACAAAGACAACACTAATTACAACTTAAAACCACACTAATAACAAGACACAATTGTATCACTGATCACTTTAGTACGCAGTTGTATCGCCTAGACGTATTCGCTTGTATCGCCAATTCAACACTAACCCCGGTCGGGGTCTATACCGACCTTATCAGAATCTTCTACTATAGAAACATCTAGAATGTTGTGTCGATAGTTCTAGAAAGTTCTTCCATGGAAATTTCTAGAAGGATCTTGATAGAGGAGCCTAGTTCTGCTACTCAATACTAGAAGGCGCTAATGATAACTAGTGTCGCTATGTACCAGTCATTAATGGTGGCGCGCAACACAGTACCCTCTTAAGACATGCTCGTCCCGAGCATTATCGGGCCCATAATAACGCGCCAATCGATCCACATGAACGATCTTAGGAATGACTCTTGCACCTTTTCGTAACCGGTAGGTTACGTCATTGATACTTGTCACAATCCGGTACGGCTCATCCCATTTAGCTTGAAGCTTGACAGAAGACTTCATAAACTAGTTTATCTGCAACTGTTGAAGCTTGTTGATTCGGAATGGCGAAGACTTCTGGTTACTGAGAGAAGTAATCTATCACAACCATAAAATACTTGTTACCACTTTCACTTTCTGGAAACGGGCCCGCAACATCAAGGGCTATCCTCTCCCATGGTGGACAAACATTGTACAATTTCAATGCACCTCGACTACATTCCTTTACAGCCGCACAATTTGTAAATTTGCGACACCAGTCCTCGACATCGTCACAACAGCGGACCCAGTAAAACCGTTCTGGGATCTTCAGTAGAGTTCGTTTAACTCCAAGATGACCTCCTGAACAATCATTATGGTACCATCTGTAGAACATTCGGTACTTTAGCTTTAGGGACAACCATTTGAAAATGACAGCTATCTCCCCGACCATTTTCCCATTTACGGCACAGGACTCCATCCTGAATCAGCAAGCTGTCCCATTGGGCCCAATAGCTTTTCGTAGTCGAACTCATCGCTGAGACGTCGCTCCACTAGCCCTGGCCTTCATCCATTCCAGAATCGGCTTGATGTCCAAATCTTCCTGCTGTGCATGTTGTAGGCTGTCCTTCCACTCATTGCTGAGCTGGTTTGTCCTGAGCATCCTCACAGATACCACTTCCTTACCCTCTTGCCAAGAACAATGCTTGCAATCTTCAGGACAAGGTCTTTTTGACAATGCATACCGTTGCCATGAGATTTTCCGCTGCGATGTTCGATCACAAAGTCAGTTCTGAAGTGAAATTTCCGCCCCAGAAGATATTTGCTAAAATGCTGCAACGACTTTACCACAGCAAGCAATTCCCGTCCTGTGGCACAATACTTCCTTTCCGGCGTTGACAACGACTTGCTGAAGTACGCCATCACAACCTCTTGATCACCATTCCATTGAGACAACACACCGCCAAGTCCTATATCACTTGCGTCTGTGTTAACTATAAATTCCTTGCCCACATCAGGGTACCCCAAAATAGATGTTTTGCACAGACGGTCCTTGGGCTCCTGGAATGCGATATCGCAATTTCATCCCAGCAGAAATTTCACTTCTCCTCGGTTAGCGTGTGCAGAGGTTTGGCTATATCTGTAAAGTTCTTTACAAATTTTAAACGTGGTAGAGCCATACTGCAGCTATATTAATAGTATAGTTGTAGCACGAATGGGTCGGCTCGACCGGGGAAGGACCACGCTCTCACATAACACCTGCGTAAAATAGCAGCTTGATGCTGCTGTGTTTCGTATGGTGAGTGTAGAGAACCGGAGACCCATTTTACTGGAAAAGAGGCATTCTATCTTAGTCCTCACGGCTGACAACGCATCTGCATTTTATTTCGCAAACGAAGATAGATGTAGATGTCTATGGGCCATAGCAGCCACTTGCCATTGGGTGGACTGTGTGCTCGTCTGTCACCCTTATTAAATTAAAAAAAAATCGCCGATAATAGGAGCACAAACCCAAAAATGCTCTAACCTGCGTCTTCTCTTTTGGATCTGGCCAATCCTTGAGACCGGCAATTTTCTCTGGATCTGTGCGGATACCTTTTTCCGACACTACATACCCCAAAAGCTAACTTGCCGTTTGAATTGTGAACTTTTCTTCGGACTCAACTTGAGGTTGGCACTCTGGATCTTCATGAGCACGCGTTCCAGGTTTTGAAGGTGTTACTCAAGCGTTCAGCCTACGATGATGATGTCATCAAAGTAGGCCAGACAGTCATCGCCAATTAGCCCGGTAAGTACAAACTCCATCAAACTTTCAAACGTTGCTGGAACATTGCACAATCCAAACTTTAAATTGCCACAGACCATTTTCCGTCGAGAATGCAGTTTTCTCCTTGTTCCTGGGGTCAATTTCAACCTGCGAGTAGCCACTTTTCAGGTCCAGCATGCTAAACCACTTTACATGTCATCAATTCTTAGCAAGGGATAGCAGTCCTTCTTCGTAACGTCGTTCAGACGGCAGTAGTCAAGACAAAACCGCATGCTGTCGTCCTTCTTCTTTACCAGCACCACAGGTGAATACCATGGACTAGATGAAGGTTCAATGACACCATCCTTCACCATTCCCTCAATCTTGGTTTCCACTTCGTTTTTACGTCCTACCGGCAAACTTATTGGCCACTGACGGATAGGCAATTCGGTACGACTTTCCATTGACGTCAGTGGAGTTTGGTGTTGATACGTATTTTTACAGAAAGATTACACTATTATAAGCACACACACAAAGTCTCAATATACGGAAACGCGTAATTTTTGAGAAAAGAATAATTGAAAATCAATTATTCTTGCAATGTTTATGTCTAATCTGCTAATAAACTGCCGCCATTTTGTAATGTCATTGTCGACGTCAATAGGGATGTCGATTCTTTCCGAAAAAGGTCGATTTTTAAATCGATTCAAATCGTAAGATGATGTATCGATTCCTAAAAAATCGATTTCTAAAATATCGATATTTTTTTCATGTTTGCATTTATAATGTAAATATAAATCCATTTTATGAGAAAAAATCCCCTTCATCATAAAAAAATAAGGGGACTGATTCATAAGGATTTCTGTATCTATTTTGAGACTGCTACGTCTCCGGCGCTGCGGGAAGAGCAACCTCTACGCCTTAGTAACAAATCGTAGGCATCGGACGAGCCGGAGCGGCTGAGGCTGGTCGCCGAAGGCGACCAACAAGCCGAAGCTGCGGAGGCTGCTCCCCCTACGCGCCTCCGGCTCTATAAAACCACTCTAGGGGTAGGACAGACTCGTACCAGGTGGAGTCGGGGTCAATCAATTCGGTTCTTTGACATAAGTTGAACCTAACCTATTTTATTTATCTGCCCTAATAGGTACTGTTAAATAAAACAAATTTCAATAAGAGATCATTTATCATGGTATCTTTCTTGTTTTTCATAAAATGGGTTTATATTTACATTATAAATAGAAACATTAAAAAAATATAGACATTTTAGAAATCGATTTTTTGTGAACCGATACATCAGCTTACGATTTGAATCGATTTAAAAATCGACCTTTTTCGGAAAGAATCGACATCCCTATTGACGTCGACAATGACATTACAAAATGGCGCCAGTTTATTAGCAAATTAGACGTAAACATTGCAAGAATAATTGATTTTCAATTATTCTTTTCTCAAAAATTACGCGTATCCGTATATTGAGACATCTTTCTGTAAAAATACGTATCAACACCAAACTCCACTGACGTCAATGGAAAGCTAAGCCGTCTTCTAAAAGTGTGGTCACTCTCGTATGTGCATCCTTGCTCGGGGTCCCAGTTGATATTTTTTTATAAAACTTAAGTAACCAACGACCTTAAGGTCCACCTGGTGGTAAGTGACTACTGCAGTTCATGGACACTGGCAGCCAGCTTCAAACAAAGAAAGCTACAGATACGTTGTACCTTCTCTGGACTTCGATGAAATGGCTCAAAGCCTTTAATAGGATTTCTATACATTTCAGACTGGAACACAGCAGTGCAAATGCTGCTGTTTGGCACCAAAAACAGTTTTGTGGTTCCTGTACTCAGATGGACTAGTAGGTAGGAAATTTGTCTTACCACTTAGTGAAGGTTTTGAGACCTATATTCAGAAGTATACTTTCGTTAGGATGTAATGATAATAATTTTGCAAATTTTGTACACGGCAAGTGATAGTGATGTAGTGGTAGTGGTTAGGTCGGTTGCTCGTAGTCGCTTCGCTTCGCTTCGGGTATGAATATTCTTACACCGCCACTTCATTTGTAGTTAATACGTCCTTCAGCGGCGTATTACGTATGATTTCCCATACACTGTTGTAATTTCAATCGGGATGTCAAAATCTAGTAAGATTCTTGCGCAAATGTGATGCAGCACACATCTGGCTGTCGTCACTATAATACACTGCCTCGAATTTTTCCAAATCCGTAGATGGGTATAAAAATTTCCGTAGAATTCCGTAAATGCTCTTGTTGTAAGTTCAATTTCAGTATAACATCGAATCAAACTACCATAAAAAATTGATTAGAAATTAATTGTTTTCTTTTAATTAAATTATTTTTGGTAAAAACAAATAAAATAATTAACACTTAAATATTTGTGGATATACTAAATTTTAAAAAAATACTTCGATTGTTAAAATTTTCGATTGTTGGTTATCGGCTAAGTTCACACTCATGATAATAAAATGGTTTTTTGTTGTTAAGTTTTTAAAAATCCAATTTTTCTGAAAGAAATGTCAAATACAAAAAAAAATACTTTACATGAAAATCAAAATCCGTAGATATCAACTCAAAATCCGTAGTTCCGTAGACGTTGTAAGAATTCCGTAGATCTACGGAATAATCCGTAGAATTGACAACGCTGCAGTAATGTCACAGAAAAGAAATCGAAAATAATGATAAAAAATGTCAAATTAGGGTAAAAAACAAAATGCAGTATTACGGAGAAAAACAAAATTAGAACCTAAGACGAAACAAATATGTTAGACACGACCAGACTACAATACTAAAAAACAATAATAAAAATATAGATTTGCTTACAAAAGTTACTAAGGTTTAATCAAAGAGTATAGTAACTGTCCTATACAGGAAGGTTTAATCGATGATGATCGTTCCAAATGGAAGTTATTCTTTTTTCTAATAACTGGCTTTACGGCTCTGGGATCTAGCCCTTCTGAGCCTGAAGTTACAATATATTATAATAATTATCCTACATAGTATACTGCTTCACAATATGTTGATGCGTCACATCGTGCAGCCCTTGGGAGATTATGACGGCAACTTGAGCCAGCAGACAGCTGATGGTTGGCGATGGTATCTCATGGCGCCTAAGCAGACAGACACCTTATTTTAAGAATCACATCACCATCAGATCACTTGTTTCACAGTTTTCACTAATAGTTCACATGCGTAGACACTTAATACACAAAATCGCAGCACTTTTCAGTCCACTTCAAACCATTATTTAAACAATAATACAGAAGCAGCTAACCGCCGCCGGTCAAGTTCCCTCCAAAACTCGCCAAATGGAAGTCCGTAGTCTCTGCCAAAGAGAATATAATCACTACGGTCTCTGCCTACCCCTCTGGATGACCGGCATGAGTGTTTATGTTATGTTATGTTAGGATTAAAGTTTCCTTTTCAGCAAATAATGCTTGTGTCAGGACACTAATTATGTTAATCTATACAAATAAATAAAATTGAAGTGTCTGTTTGTAATGTCAAAATTACAGTTTTTTACTAAATGCATATGAAAGTAAATACGATACCTATAACTAAAATACAATTTTTAAAATTTTTGTCTGTCTGTCTGTCTGTCTGTCTGTTTGTTCCGGGTAATCTCCGAAACGGCTGGACCGATTTTGACGGGACTTTCACTGACAGATAGCTGATTTCATAAGGAGTAACATAGGCTACTTTTATTTTAGAAAAAGAATCAGGG